CAGAGTATCTTAAGAAGGTGGAGAGTCAGTTCACGGCTCTTCAAAGGCTTATGCCAGTACCTTGATAAAGAAATTATTCAATGAGAAATACTCTGGTGGAGGTATAAAAAACACATATTGAAGATGAGCAGCACGGCATCAAAGCTCAAGCCAATGAATTTGGAGCTCAAAGATGAGTTCCTGATTTATTTAGTTTTTGCTTCCTTGCTGAAAGAGTATGAAACTTTTGTTGTTAGCTACAACATGTAGCCCGATAAGTGGGACATTGAGAAGCTTATTGCAATATGTGTTCAAGAAGAGAAGAGGCTAAAAAGTTCATAGGATGACTCTGCTAACCTTGTGAAGGACTACAAGAAGAAGAACTTCAATAAAAATGCCAAACCTCAAGGGAAAGCCCCTCAGAATGACCACCATCAGAAGAACAACAATGCTCAAGTTGAAAAGGATCAGTGTAAATGGTGCAAGAAGCATGGACATTACCAGAGGGACTGTCCAGACTTCCTAAAGAGCCTTCTGAAGAGAGGTGAGGATATCATTACACTCATAGATTAATCTTTGTTTTTAAGTTATTCAAAATCTACTTGGTGGATTGACTCAGGTGTAACTATTTATGTTACAAATTTATTATAGGGATTCCATATGAGGAGGACCCTGCAAAGAGGAGAAAGAAGAATTAAAGTAGCAAATGGAGTTGAAGCCATTAGAGATCTCTCTCTAGAATTAGTTGATTGTTTTGTATTTAAGCTTTCATTTGTTCTATATATACCCTCTTTGCGAAGAAACTTAATAAGTGTTTCACGTTTAGATGACGATGTATATGATTGCCATTTTGGTAATGACAAATGTTAGATTGTTTATACTAATAAATATGTTGGTCTTGCCTTCTGACAAGACAAGCTTTATTTATTATCACTTTTTGAGAATATGAATGATGTAAGTACTGAGAATGAGAATGTCTCTTCGTCTATGAATGCAAGTAATAAGCGGAAGAGAGTTCATGTTGTATCATCAAAATTATGGCACTGTCATTTAGGCCATATTTCGAGGGGGAGAATAGAGCGATTGATTAAGAAATAAATTCTTCCGCCTTTAGAATTTTCAGATTTAGAGCAATGCATTGATTGCATAAAAAGAAAGTACGTTAAGAAAATTAAAAAAAGATGCCAAATGAAGCGTGGGAATTTTAGAAATAGTTCACACAGACATTTGTGGTCCTTTTCCTGTGAAGAGTGTGGATGATTATGATTCATTTATAACATTCACATATGACTATTCTCGTTTTGGCTATATTTATCTAATTAAAAAAAGATTGGAAGCATTGGATGATTTTAAGATATTTAGGGCTGAAGTAGAAAATCAGCACAACTTAAAGATTAAGATAGTAAGGTCCGACCGTGGGGGAGAGTACTACGGTCGACACACCCCATATGGCCAAGTTCCTAGACTCTTTGTAAGATTCTTACAGGAAAATGACATAGTAGCCCAGTATTCTACACCGGGCGAGCCTCAGCAGAATGGAGTAGCTAAAAGACGCAACCGTACCTTAATGGATATGGTGAGAAACATGATCAGTTATTCTACCCTACTGATAAGTTTATGGATGGAGGCGTTAAAAACTGCCTTTCATATACTTAATTAAGTGTCAAGCAAGTCAGTGCCCAAAACACCGTATGAGTTGTGGACAGGAAAGGAACTCTCACTTAACTATTTACGTGTGTGGGGTTGTCTAGCTGAGGCAAAAGTTTTTAACCCAAACATAGGCATGCTAGACTCTAAGACAGTCAGTTGCCATTTCATTGGCTACCCAGAAAAATGAAAAGGTTATTGCTTCTATTGTCCTGACAGACAAACGAAGTTTGTAGAAACAAGACATGCTGTCTTCTTAGAGGATGATATGATCAGGGGGAGCATGGCAGCGTGAGAAATTAGTTTTGAAGAGAAGCGGGTATATGTGGCCACTCCTATGGTTTAGGAGTCATTCATCACGCTATCTGTTGTTACTGTACCAATAGTACAAGACACTGTACTAACAGCACATGTTGTTAGTTCTCCTGTGACAACAATAAATGAACATGAGGAACCTGTCCTTCAGGATTCCCAAGAACCCGTTGTCACACATGAGGGAGAGCAAAAATAGCCTCATATAGAATAAACGTCATCTAACGAGGCCCCTAGAAGGTCTCAAAGAGTTAAGAGATCAGCCATTCCTGATAATTACGAAGTTTATGAATGTGAGGAATTTCAAATGGAAGGTAATCCCACCTCATTTGAAGAAGCCATGAGAAGCGCTCACTCATCCAAGTGGCTTGAAGCCATGGAAGATGAAATGGAATCAATAAAAACCAACGATGTTTGGAAATTAGAAACAATTCCTAAAGGAGCCAAGACAGTAGGCTGTAAATTGGTCTACAAAACCAAACATGACTTCAAAGAGAATATAGAAAGATTCAAAGCGCGACTTGTGGCGAAAGGCTTCACGCAAAGAGAAGGTATAGATTATAATGAGACATTTTCTCCAGTCTCATATAAGGATTCTTTTATAATCATAATAGCGCTTATAGCACATTATGATTTAGAATTACATCAGATGGATGTTAAGACGGCGTTCCTAAACAGGGATCTGGAGGAAAATGTTTATATGGCACAATCAAAAGGTTTTGTTGTGGAAGGGAAAGAACGTATGGGATGCCGCTTGAAGAAATTCATTTATGGATTAAAACAAGCTTCAAGACAATGGTATTTGAAGTTTGATAGTACAATAAGAAAGTCTGGGTTTCAAGAAAATATAGAGGATAATTGCGTTTATGCAAAGTTTAAGAATGGAAAATACATTTTTTTAGTCTTGTATGTGGATGACATCTTGCTCGCTAGCAGTGATGTTAATCTACTACTAGAAACAATGAAGTTCTTGTCCTCGAAGTTTGATATAAAGGATCTCGGTGAAGCTTCATTCGTCCTAGGAATAGAGATTCACCGAGATAGAAAAAATAGGGCTTTAGGATTATCACAAAAGTCATACTTAGAAAAGGTTCTAAAAAAATACAGTATGCAAAATTATAAGTCTTCACCTGCTCCCATAGTCAAGGGCGACAGATATAGGAAATTTTAATGTTACAGGAACCAATATGAGATCGATCAAATGAAAGCGGTTCCATATAGTTCAACTGTCGAAAGTTTATAATATGCTCAAGTGTGTACTCGCCCTAACTTAGCATTTGTTACCGGGTTACTTGGTAGATATCAGAGTAATTCAGGAATAGAACATAGGAAATTAGTAAAAAAGTTTTACGTTACCTGCAAGGTACAAAGGGTCTCATGCTAACGTACAGAAGATCTGATTCCCTGCACATAGAGGGGTATACAGATTCTGATTATGCGGGAGATAACAGAAAAATCCATGTCAGGATACATATTCACTCTCGCAGGAGGAGCTATATCGTGGAAAAGCTCAAAGCAAACTGTCACTACATCGTTCACGATGTATGCCGAGTTTGTAGCATGTTATGAAATCACAGGGCAGGTGAATTGGCTGAAGAAATTCATGCCTAAGTTGGAAGTGGTAGACGACATACATAAACCACTCAAGTTATAGTGCGATAATAATCCAGCAGTATGTTATGCTCACAATAATAAGTCAAGTGATGCTGCCAAACACATTGGCATAAAGTATTATATTGTGAAAGATAAAATCCGGGATTATATAATTAGTCTTGAGCATATAAGAACAGAAAAAATGCTCGCGGATCTGCTTACAAAAGGCTTAGCACCCAGCGTGTTCAGAGAAGACTTAGTCGGCATGGATTTAAGGGAAAGCCTATGATTTCTGGACAATAAGTGCCTAGTTGAGAATCTATTTCAAAACAGAGAGGTGCATTGTAACTGTTTAATCTAATGGCAACTGACCGTGACGATGAGGCACGCTCTATGCACTGATCTGTGATGGAATGGCAACAAGATAAAGTAAGTAAGTTGAGTTTAAGTCATAAGGTGAAATCAAGGGTAAGAATATTAGATGATCTCCACCAATTGGCCCTGGGCCCTTGGATCCATGCCCTGATCGGGGGTGCCCAACTGTTCCATGGTTGGTGGGCCTCTGTCGCACAGCGCCATAAAAAGGGAGGTGAGGGCCAAGGCACAAGGCACGAGGTTCACTTGAGCCGCCAGACGCCCCACCTATAGTCCCTAAACTCTAGACGATCTAGAGAGAGGCGCTGCCAGTGATGGGAAGCTCCGCCACCGGCCACCGCCGCCTCTACACCGCCGCCACCGCGACAGCGCCTTCACCACCAGGCTTCACCGCGCCACCGTCAAGCAACCCCATGGCCAACTCGTCTTCTACGAAGGTGGACGGTGGTTTGCACCTCCTCAATCTCTCTCTCTCATTCTATCTGTTAATCCCATACCAGTACATATCCTAGAACTCACTATTTATTCTAAATATAAGTACACATGCTAGATCTATGGTTAGTTGATCCTGTAATAAACTAACAGTGGTATCCTGTGATCTGTGAATACAAATAAATTTAATCATGCAAAGATGAAGCGCAAATTTTCTAAGAAAATGTTACTTTTCAAATAATTTATTTGGTATCATAATTAATATAGAATCTAATTATATTTATTTGGTATCATAAATATTATTATTTTATTATATAATTCTGATCAAACTTTAGATGCTTTGACTCTAGAAGAAAGTTGAAATAGCTTATAATTTGCAACTGATGGAGTACCAAAATACGTAGAGCAACACCACATAAGTGGTTCTCCATTTAGCAGAAGTGTGTCCAAATGGGGTTGACAATATGAGTCATCATCACAACCACTAAGCTTACTTTTTAGATCTCCTCTTTTTTCATGATTTTTCGTTGAACTAGGAAATGATTCTCTAAGAAAATTATTCAGTTGCTCAAATTGATTTCGTATAATGAACTCTGCTGACTGCTGTAGAAGTGGTATTAAGAGGTTAGTGAATCAGGTGGATAGCTGCCTTTAAACGGGCTCTAACGTGGAGACCTAATTCCAATGTACGCCGTATCAGTAAAACTGATATTCCGACTGGTACTAAGTTCTATTTCTGAGGCCGTGCTCGGCGATCCACCAAGCAATGCCCGAATCTCCTCGGAGTTCTGGCGACCCCAGGGATGCTGGGACCACCTACTCAGCCTGTCTAGCTCTTCCGCGACCTGCCTCATCGACGGCCTCTTGTCGCCGGTCATCTCCAGGCATTGCTTCGCCAGCTCCGCGACCTGCTCGAGCAGCTCGAAGCTCTGCTCGCCCTTCACCTGCTCGTCCAGTATCTCCTCAAGGCGGTCCTCGCCAAGAACCAGGAGGAACTGCGACGAGAGGTACTTCTCCTCCTCGAGCTCCTCCAGGTTGAGCGCCTTGCGGCACGTCAGGAGCTCGAGCAGGACGACGCCGAAGCTGTACACGTCGCTCTTGTCCGTCAGCTTGCACGTCCTCATGTACTCGGGGTCCAGGTACCCGCAGGTCCCCTGCACGAACGTCACGAGCTGGGCCTCGTCCGTCGGCGCCATCGCCGAGGCCCCGAAGTCGGAGACCTTGGCGGTGTAGTCCTCGTCGAGGAGTATGTTGGACGTCTTCACGTCGCCATGGATGATGGGAGGGGACGCCCAGGAGTGCAGGTACGCGAGCGCCTCGGCGGCCTGGTGAGCGATCCTGAGGCGGAGCGCCAACGGGATGCGTGGCACGCCGCGGTCACGGTCACGCCCGCCGTGGATGAGCCGGTACAGGGTGCCGTTGGGGATGTACTTGTACACCAGCATCGGGACCTCCACCTCGAGGCAGCAGCCGTAGAGCTTGACGATGTTCCGGTGGTTGATCTGCGACAGGATGAGCATCTCCTTGCCGAACTCCTTCTTCTGCCGCTCGTTGGACAGCCGGCACTTCTTGATCGCCACGGTCGTGCCGTCCTTGGCGGTGCCGCGGTACACGGTGCCGTTGCCGCCCTTGCCGATCACGTTGCGCTCGTCGAACTTGTTGGTCGCCACCTCGAGCTCCTCCTGGGTGAAGAGCGTGAAGGACAGGCCCTGCCTCGACTTCATCTCCTCGAACAGCAGGAGGCCGCCGTGCTGCTTGAAGTACTCGCTTTTGATCTTGGCGAACCGCCTCTTCTCGTGGATCATGTAGAGGCAGGTCGCCGTGACGATCAGTGCGACAACGCCACTAGTAACACCTTCAGGAAGAGAGACTAGGTCATTACGTTATCTGCGGTGGTTGGATCATCTATTCAACTTAATTAGCGTTTGCAAGAAACAAGAAAAAAGGAGACGCGTGTGTGCCTACCAATGGCGATCTGCCACCCGATTTGGGTTTTCTTGTCCTCGCACGTTCCATTGTAGGCGTTGCCCGTCGTCTTGTCAGGACATGCGCAGTAGAATGACCCAATAGTGTTGATGCAGGTACCAGGAACAGAGCACGGGTAGCTGAATCTTCCATCTTCGCACTCGTTAATATCTGCAAAAGCAAAATGTTAACTTGGCCGCCATCCCCAGCAACAACGAAGACCATGGCAGGTAGGAGGATTGAGGAAGAGCACCTTGGCAGCCGTTGAGCAGGTAGGGGTTGCCGTCGTATCCGGCGGAGCAGTTGCAGAGGTAGCCCCGGCCCTTGCCGTACTTGGAGTCGATGCACTCGCTGTTGCTACTGACGCACGCGTACGCCGACGCGTTCCGCTTGGCCTCCTCGCACGTCTTGTTCCCGATGGCCCAGTCGAGCACGAGCGGCACCTTGCCGTCGTTGTCCGCCATGAACGCGTCGGTGGTGACGTACGTGGTGCGGAAGTCGAAGGCAGCGGCCTCCAGGAGCACGGCGTAGCTGCAGGGGCTGAAGCTGACGATCCCGGAGGTGTTGAACTTGTCCTCGTAGGAGACCCAGTACGCGTTGAGGTCGCCGGGGATGGCGGTCTGGCAGCACCCGACGCCGGCGCAGGATCCGTTCTCCAGGCGGCTCACGCCGGGGCACATGGCCATGCACCCGGTCATGTACGTGTCGGCGCTGTCGTTGAGCGACCGGATGTAGGCCAGCGAGTTGCAGCCGATGACGGTGAACCGGTTCTGCGCGTCGTTGATGCGGAAGTTGGTGATGGACATGTTGTACCACCAGTTGTGCTGCTCGTTCATCGCCCGCGTCGTGGCGTTGTAGCACCATGGGTTGATGATGTTGTAGATGCGCAGCTGCCCCAGGCGCACCGACATGTCCATCACCTCGATCTGGTAGTTGTACAGCCGGAGCCGCCCGTCCTCGCTGCGGTTGCAGGTGAGCCTGAACGTCCAGTCCCCCGTCTCGAGGTGGCACCCGGGGCCGACGCCGAACGGGTACGGGATGTCGATGTCGCCGCACCGCCGTAGGCATGTCGCGTTCGGCTGCATCGCCGTCGTCGCCGCCGCCGCCGGCCGCGCCCAAAGGACCGACGCGGCGAACAGCGCAAGGATCATGGTTCTTGCGCTCTCCCGGCCTCTCGCGGCGGCGTAATTAGGAGGCATGGCGTGGCTGGCAGGAGCGCTGTTAACATAGGGTGATTATATTGCTGTCTGAACTAATCGAGGCTTTAATCTGGCCACATGCTGCGCTTATTTTGAAGAGATCAAAACGCAGGTGTTTTCGCTCGCACGCAGGACGAATTGACTTCACTACACGATACCGACAGGTACGTGGGAAATTTCAAAGGAGACGCCTCTTTTTCTATGCACGTTGATCTTCAGGCTCAAGATACAGTCAGAGTACATGAGTGGGCATCGACAGCGATTGATTGATCACTCATCTCCTACTCTAAGATGAGGTACTGGTTCATCGATCCTTTAGCTCCGCTTGACGTATGAACAGAATCATTGAGGTACTATGTATTTTTGAAACATTCTAAAACGAAAGCAATAGTAGTACCATCGTGTTCACCCAGTTGCTTTCGTTTTTCACTTTGGGGGGAAAATACTTTGGAGTCTATAGTTGCATTTGTTGACTCCTGAATGGAAGTACACAACTCTTACTCCCTCCTATTCCAAATGTATACCATTTTATTTATACTAGTGCAGGGCGCGCGCACATGCAGTTACAGCGAAAATTTAAAACATGGAGGAGACACGGTAACTAATACGGTACATAGGCATATATTTAGGATATATATATTGCATATGTTGTTCAAGTTTGGTAAATGCGGTCGCTGATAAGCATATTACATATGTTGTTCAGGTCTGGAAAAAGCCGGCGGTGATGCAGGGAGATATATTACATGTGCTGTGATGCATGGAGATATACAATCTATGCTGACAGTGTGTATAAAGATGAGGTATGGAGACATATTTTTCATGAACAGGAGGGTTTCTTGTTTGGTGGTAGTTTGAAACCCTCTCGAGGCCTATAGGACCGACATAGTAAGGAGACGACGAGGATCTTCGAAATGGAAAGCGAGCTCTTCCGCATGTCACAAAATATAGAATCCACTCAGGAGATACATGAATATGTGTGATGAACCACTCATATAAACCTGTAAAATTTATAAGATGAAGCTGAAATTTAAATAGAAAGTTAGGACCACACACTAGTAGACAACAGACCTTTGATCCTCGGTCAAAATGGGCTCTAGTCCTGGCATTTTTTGCGCCCAGGACTAGAGAGACCTTTAGTCTCGGTTGGTGGATCCCACCGGGACTAAAGGTCCCTGTCCAACGACTACTGCGCCAGACAGAGGTGGCAGGGACCTTTAGTCCCGATTGGAGCCATCAACCGGGACTAAAGGTAGACTTTTACTCCCAGTTGGTGGCTCCAACCGGGAGTAAAGGTCTAGTCTCGGACCGTGGCTGCGCCGGGGGTTGGAAAGTTACATTTAGTCTCGGTTGGATCCACCAACCGGGACTAAAGGTCCCCCTTTATATCCCGGCCGTCTCCTTCTTCCTCCCCGAGTCCGAGCTCAGCACATTTTGAAGCTCACTGCACTAGTGTTCTTGCTTCCTCCCTCCATTGTTCCTCCATCCATTCTTCGATTTCTCTGTCGATTTCTTCGATTCCTCCATCGATTTTTTAGTTGTAAAGGTTACCAATCTCATACTCTCATTTTTCATCATTGGCTTATCTCATATTGTTCACTATATATATATTGTTTTTATGGTGTGTTTTTTATTTGTAAACAATTTGAGCTCAAAATAACTTATAGTTTGCATATTTGGATGAAGAAAGGTTAAAGTAGGTATTTAAAATTAGTATTCACTTTTTATTTCTAGCATGCATAGCACACTTCATTGTTTAGAGATATAGATAATTTTATAGTTTCTTAATTTTCTTTGTTTATAAAATGAGAAATTTATAGTGTATTAAAAATGAGTATAGAGAGTAGATGGCAACTACTGCTTCCGGGTCCTTGGCCTCTCATGGGTTTCCAAAGCGACTTAGGCCGGGTCTCCCTCTCATTCCATGCGGCAAGTGTCATGATGAGACGAAGATTGTGATGGAGTACCGAGTGAAAAGGAGGGTCCCAACAAGGGTCGTATCTTCTACAAGTGTCCAGATCGTAATGTGAGTTATTTTATCGTATTTTATGATTATGGTTAGTTTATACCTATTTTCATGATGGTTGTGATTAAAGTTCTAATTTTTTGTTTTAATTTCAGTGGGATGGTAGTGGACGATGTTCAGGCTTCTACTGGGAGGAAGAGTATGTTGAACTCGTGTAAAAATATCTTGCACAACAGGCAAATACGGCGGCTAATGAGGCGGGGGATCTGTCTGTTTTAGTTGAGATTGGTCGCGAAATCCTTGTGCTCCTGAAATGTATTTTAGCTTTAGTTCTTTTAGTGGTAGTTGGGATTGTCTATATTATAGCGATGCTTTCATAAATTTGTACCTTTTGTGGTGGCACGCATGTTGTATAAATAATTAATTATGATATAGGTTTTAATATGGTATTTATGTCATGTAATGCAGATGAGCCGGCATTGGATGTACAATGCTGATCGCCGCTCCCAAGAGTTCATTGACGGCATGCATTCTTTGTTACGTGCGGTCGAGGCAAACGAACGCGACGGTTTCATGTGCTGCCCATGTGCCATATGTAAGAATACGGTGGAATATCCTTGCTCAAGGACTCTTCATTCACACTTGTTCAAGTCGGGTTTCATGCCAAACTATATTTGTTGGAGGAAGCATGGAGAAACCGGCGTTGTAATGGAAGAAGGTGAAGAAGAACAATGTGACGACAATGATATTATTCCCGATGGTGCGTGCTTCAATGATACTGCAATGGGAGAAGCTGAAGAAGAGGTAGCCGCAGAAGATGAGCCTGCTGATGATCTTTGTCAGGTCATTCGTGACGCACAAAGAGAATGTGAAAGTGAAAATAAGAAGATCAAGTTAGAGCGGATGCTAGAAGATCACAAGAAATTGCTATACCCAACTTGTGATGCAGGGCAGAAAAAGTTGGGAACCACACTAGAATTGCTGCAATGGAAGGCAAAGAATGGTGTATCTAACAAGGGATTTGGAGAGTTACTAAAAATCCAAAAGAAGATGCTTCCGAAGGACAATGAATTGCCCGCCACTACCTACGAAGCAAAACAAGTTGTCTGTCCTATGGGGCTACAAATCGAGAAGATACATGTATGTACCGTAGCAAAGAGTACGAGAAATTAGATGCATGCCCGGTATGCCATGCATCGCGGTATAAGATCAGGCGAGATGACCCTGGTGATGTTGAGGGCGAACGTCCGTGAAAGAAAATCCCTGCCAAGGTTACGTGGTATGCTCCTATAATACCACGCTTGAAACGTCTGTTCAGAAACAAAGAACATGCAAAATTGTTGCGATGGCACAAAGAAGACCGTAAGGTAGACAATATGTTGAGACACCCTGCTGATGGGTCCCAGTGGAGAGCAATCGACAGAGAATTCCCGGAGTTTGCAAATAACGCAAGAAACTTAAGGTTTGCTTTAAGTACAGATGGTATCAATCCTTTTGGAGAGCAGAACATTAGTCATAGCACTTGGCCTGTTACTCTAAATATCTACAACCTTCCTCCTTGGTTATGCATGAAGCGGAAGTTTATTATGATGCCTGTGCTCATCCAAGGCCCGAAGCAACCTGGCAATGACATCGATGTGTACCTGAGACCACTTATTAACGAACTTCTCATTTTATGGAATAAAGAAGGTGTATGTGTGTGGGATGAGTACAAATAGGAACACTTTGATCTGCGAGCATTGTTGTTCGTAACAATCAATGATTGGCCTGCTCTAAGTAATCTTTTAGGACAGTCAAACAAGGGATATAATGCATGTACACACTGCTTCGGTGATATTAGAGGTGTATTCTTGAAAAAATGTCGAAAGGTCGTGTACCTTAGCCATCGTCAATTTCTTCCTGCAAATCACCCCGTAAGAAAGAAAGGCAAACATTTTAAAGGGAAGGCAGACCACCTGACCAAGCCTCGCAACCGAACCGGTGAGGATGTACTCGATATGGTCAATGATGTGAAAGTCGTCTTTGGAAAAGGACATGGCAGCCAACCTGTTCCGAATGACGCTAATGGTCACGCACCCATGTGGAAGAAGAAGTCCATATTTTGGGAGCTACCCTATTGGCAAGTCCTAGAGGTCCGCAACTCGATCGACGTGATGCACCTGACGAAGAATCTTTGTGTGAACCAGCTAGGCTTCATGGGTGTGTATGGAAAGCCTAAGGACACATTTGAAGCACGATAGGACCTACGTTGTTTGAGAGAAAGAGACAACCTGCATCTAGAGAAGACAGATGATGGACGCCATTACTTACATCCTGCCAGCTACACTCTAAGCAAAGAGGAGAAGAAAATCATGTTTGAATGCTTAAACAACATCAAGGTACCATCTGGATTCTCCTCGAATATAAAGGATATTATAAATGTGCCAGAGAAGAAATTCTATAACTTAAAGTCCCATGACTGTCACGTTCTCATGACACAATTACTTCCAGTTGCATTAAGAGAAATTCTACCTCCAAATGTACGTCTAGCCACCGTGAAGCTATGTGCATTCCTCAATGCAATTTCTCATAAGGCAATTGATCCAACTGATCTAGCTAAACTACTGAATGATGTGGTTCAATGTCTCGTCAGCTTTGAGTTGGTGTTCCCTCCTTCCTTCTTTGATATCATGACACACCTCCTAGTTCACCTAGTCAAGGAGATTTTCATTCTCGGTCCTGTGTTTCTATACAACATGTTCTCCTTAGAGAGATTCATGGGAGTCCTGAAGGAATATGTTCACAACCGTGCTCGCCTAGAAGGAAGCATCGCCAAGGGCTATGGAACAGAAGAGGTCATTGAGTTCTATGTTGACTTTATTCCCGACCTTGACTCGATTGGTGTTCCTGAATCGAGATATGAGGAGAGACTAAGCAGAAAGGGGACACTAGGGAGGAAAACATATATTGGTATGGAGGATGATTATTTCAATAAAACGCACTACACGGTTCTACAGAACTCCTCCTTGGTAGATCCGTATATTGAGACACGCAAGGA